GGCCCGGGTTAAGGCCTTCCCCCCCGGGGTCCCCGGTAAAAAGGCCGCCTGTGGGTTCCTTTTCCCGGGTTTTTCCCCATCGGGGGCCCCGTTTTTTTTTGGGGGAATTTTGGGATTGGGGTTTGGTCCCTTGGGAAAAATTCTCCTTCCTTTTGGGGAAAATGGTTTAAGGGTTTGGCCGGCCGTAAACAGGGGGCCCCCCCCCCCCCCCCCCCTGTTGAAATTCTCTGCTTTGGAGTGCAGGAGACCGACGCCATGATGGCCACGCTGGCCCACGCCACGAACGGGCAGGGTACCCTCACTAACGACGGTGGCGTGCTGCGAGCGGCCCTCGCCGCCGCGCAGGCCCCCGAGCTAGAGGCGGAGGTCTCTCCCACCGGCCGCGGGGCGAGCATCTACCACGCCATCGCTAACCAGGGCGGGGTGTCCGTGAGGGACCTGGCGGCTTGGATCTGCGTGGAGAAGAAGTGCTCGAGGGTGGGTCGTCGAGGCGATGGACGAGTTTTGGTTTTGGTTCTCGCCCTTTTTTATATAGTTTTTTGCACAACGCACAACGAATCCATGTATTTTGTTTTGTCCACGGATAAGAGTCCAGGGTAAAGTTAGGAACGAATCTATGGCGTCCTTTTTGGGTGAGTGCCTGTGGTGCCATTTGGTTGTTGTTGTTGAATCGTCGCGACGCTGTGGTGGAATTGGATTGTTTTGGTCTCATTTCAATGAAGCATCGGTCATGTTTGGTAGGGCCCTATAGTGCGGTCGGTACTGTACCGCATGGTTTCCGGCCACCCGAGTTACGGTAGCTCCTGACACCTTCGCTCGTTCCGCGTGCGGTTGGCTTGGTTGGCTGCCAACAGGTAATAGCCTTTATGCAGCAGCACTTCGCCGGGGCGGCGTTGCGGGAGAAGCAGAACGCCAAGATGCGCTTCGAGTTCCCGCCGCAGAAGAACCAGACGCTGGCGCAGATGTTCGGCTTCATCGAGGTATGTACACATGCTGTGTCACGTCCACGACTCCGCTGACTGCGTCCCGTGTGGAAAGCTACGGATTTCGAATCACGTGGGCTTTTTTGTTACCTCCAATTTTGATATGATGGTGCCCCTTGTTTACATACAGCACACGTATGTATCTATCTCGGCTCCTTCCACGAAGGCGGTCGTGACTGTTCAGGAACGGCGTGTGTGATTCCGCGGTGAAGTTGAGGTCGGAGGGGGGAGAACAATACAGCAGCACCGACACCAACCAGTACCCCAAGGGTACCGTTAGCACCGACACCACAGACCTTTACGCGAGTGCAAGCTATAGAATTTTCGGGTAGTATGGCCCACCCGGTGACGCGCATGGTCTGTTTTTTTGTTGTGTCCCACAGGCATGTAGTATTTCCGGGGCCGCGCAAAGGCTATTGCTCCCAGATGGTTCTTGTGTCTCTGAGCGATGGTGCACTTCTGTCTGGTGCAGTTGAATTTCAGCTCACATATGAAACGAGGGCAAAAACACCTTCGACAGACAAACGTTGGGAGATTATACCCTTTTTGACGGGGATCTGAACTGACACCGTTTTTTTTTTTTTGCTGGATCACTATGATATGCATAGCTTTCGGTAGACCGGCCGTAGTCTTATGCTCACCGCGAGATGCTGCTCTTGTGTCGGGCGTTTGTACGGTTCGTTTGCCTCTCTGCCGAACAATGTTTTTGCCGAGCAGAACGAGCGCGATTCTCTCTTCATCGGGGAGTACGCCCTCAGCCAGACGTCCCTGGAGCAGGTGTTCAACGGCTTCGCCGCACAGCAAGAGGAAGAGCTCGGGCACGCCGCGGGCACCATGTAGCACCATTTTTCTACCGACCAATCAAAGTGCAATGGCGATTTTTTGTTAGATTAGTGTAGCAGCTTGTCTTTGGACCAAGTGGACCCTGACTTGGAAGAGGAGGGTAGTGTGTCGCTGTTGGGGATGCAGCCAAGGTTAGAAGGGAGACTATGGAGCGCTTTGTGTTTTTTTCCGCATATCGAATGTAGCGGGGGGCGAATTGCTCAGGTCGGTGTGTGTGGTTGACGACCCAGGATTTTGTTGATGTCAACGACACCAACCACGACAAAGAGCGAGAGCGTAGTGATGAGTTTGGCCGATGATAACCCTCTTTCTCTTTCGGGGGGGAAGTGCTCGTGTTTTGCATGCCTTAGCGGTTACACTGCTGTTGACATGACCACCACGCATCCTCGAGAGGTGGTGAGTGTTTTTTTTTTTTTTCTACCCATAGGTAGCCACGTCTTTTTTTTTCAGTTTTGCTGTTGCGAGGTTAGGTTTTCCAGCGCACTTTGTGCTTGCAAGAACGTCGCGAAGCCGTTTGTGGAGCCTTTCAGAAGCATGGGTACCGTTGTATCATTGTACTGTTGTATCATAAGAGGCATGGCGCAGGATGCTCGTTGGATCCCCGCGGCGTGTGAAGCAGTTTATTTGGAAGGCAAAAGGCTTTGTTCGAAACCTTTGCGGTAGTGGAAACTGTGTTGTGTGCCGCGGAGGGAATGGGTGTGCTGCTTTCGACCGGACGGGCGGGCGGTGACATGTGTCGAGGGGCAGAGAGATACCTGGTAATGTTTACTCCATCGCGGCTCGAAGCAGTAGTGTTGGCCCTTGTTTGGGATCTCGGATGGTTTCGCCCCCGTCCCTTGGTAAGTGTTCTGATTGCAGAAGCAGTAGGGGGCTCGGGTTGTATGCCTGGGGAAACGAGCTATCAACCTGTACATGTAGTCTTATGTTCACGCGTAGTACGAGTGTCGGTCTCGCTTAACGTGGTGGGACTGGGAGGCCTTGAGTTTGATTTCGTTGTAATAAGATCTAATAATAATTGTGTACTGTTTGTTGGGACCCCCCGTCGTGTCTTATCTGTACTGGCGGGTTTGTGTGCCTTGGCCACCGCCGAGCTCGAGCTGCTGAACAAACGATCGCGGACTGGGCGCGGAAATATGGCACATCGGTCACGGCCCTCCCGCTTCTCTCCGAAGTCCACTGCCTCTCGTGACCGACTGTGATGTGGGTCGCAGTGGTTCTCTGCTACCCCTCGCTCTACGCGTGCGATGGAGACAAGCCACGAGTTCTCACCAGAACTTGAAGCAAATAAATGTCTCACCAAGACGCAACGCATCCCAAAAACAAAGAACCCTTTCTGGGTGTTCCCCCCGCCGACGATCGTGAAACATTCCCGTCTTATCTACGGTGGGTGGCACGCATACCCCGCGGGTGTTTTCGCCCTGGGTTACCTTGGTAAGAAGAGGAGAACATTCTTGAGAATGCACGGTCCAACTTTGCGGGCGGGACGCTCCATCCACTCGAATCCATCAGCGTGGACAGATAGAGCGTCCCCGGGCAAGTCGATATCCCCGACATTACATGGTGCGTACAGTCCGTCGTCTCTGAAAAATCATGCTGGATGTATGCGATCTATTAGTGCGTGATGCAATAATTGCGTCGTCAGTGACTGGAACACACCAAAGTACAACACCACGCGCGGCGAGCTTGTACATTCAGTAGACAGCTACATACATAAGACGGCTACGTTTTTTGTAGAAGACGGAACAAACTGAGTGTGTGTACGGAAGATTCAGCAACTCATCAAAATTAGTTCTGGAAAAACCGGGGCCACGAATAGTAACATCTCGCCTACCCCCCCTTCTAGACGCTATTGGGAGAGAGCACGTGTGTACGCCTACGTCCGGTGATCTAGCTGCCGATAGTAAAGCAATTCGAAAGAAAACAGAAGGCCTGTTGTTGTTGTTGCAGTTAGTTGTGCAAAGCCCCCGGGTGTAACTCTTCCTAATCCCCACGCCCCCACCCACTCACCCCAAACCACAAAAAAAAATACTTCTACATTACATGTAATAGTCAAGTTGCGGCCGGCACCTACGTACAGCAGCATTGTCGTCCGTTCACTAAATAATAATCTCTCCTTCTCTTCTTTCCTAATCTTGAAAGGCAAAAGAGAAGAATTCGTCATCACGTTACGACGTGTATCTACACGCCAATTCTCCGAAAATCACAGAGTTTCAGTCCAAACACCAACAACCAGCCGGCAAATATGAATGGTGTGTATAGGTGGAAGGAACGACACCCATCCATTCCGTACAGCTTGCGAAGCAGAGCCCATGTATTGCTCCACGATGTAGACTAATAGGAAAACCGTTTTTTTGCCGTAACAACACTACATGCAGTATTCGGCAGCTTCGTTTCCACTCACTGTGCTTTCAGTTCTCGTGCGTTGGGACGTACGTGTGGTCGTGGCGAAACAGGGCCAACGATCCCCCCCATGGAAAAACAAACCAGGATACAACCGGACACACACATTGATTGATAGATAGACCCCCGCTCGGTAACTCCGCCCGAAAGTCTATGCGATTCTTCGCAAGAAGAAAAAAGGTTGACAAAAAAATACAAGGCCTTAGGGCAGAGCGAAGTCCTTCTGTCCCTCCCTGTGGAGAGCTCTCTCACAACATACGAACGGCAAGTAAAATACCACGACTCGACCAGGTGCAAGCCGAGCTCTCAAGCTATCAGAGAGCATGATAATGCTTGAAAAGGGATAATAATTTGGTTCTTTCACATCAACTCCCGCGGTTCTATCATCCCAATCAAGAACCCTGGTGATGTATGTATTGCTTGTCATACACTTCGTAACGCGTACGTACGTCGGGATGGTTGCCACCATGCCAGCCTAATAAAAAACAGCTTCGCTACGAATGACTCGAGAAGAACATGAAAGCTCCGCACGTTCGGCCAACCATCATGCACTCCAGCCGGTCAACACAGTGCTGAGTATAACACCGAGGTGAAGTACACCCGCCCACATGGAAGAACGAGAGAGAATAAAACCGCAAAGTGTTGCGAATGAACACCATCCATCACGGCACGTGTTGAAGAAAATTTCGGTTCACAGTTGCTTATATAGACTAGTCTATGGGCTTGCCCGGGGCGTAACTGATGATCAGTCGGCCCTCCACATAATAAGGGGGCGCTGAGTCGACTTTGTCGCAACCACCACGTATTGAATGCTTCATTCAACAGTCCTTTATGCTTATTACATGGTGCCCGCGGCGTGCCCGAGCTCTTCTTCTTGCTGTGCGGCGAAGCCGTTGAACACCTGCTCCAGGGACGTCTGGCTGAGGGCGTACTCACCGATGCACAGAGCTTCGCGCTCGTTCTGTTGTTCGGAGGCAACGGCGACACGATTATAATAGTGGCAAAACACACACACACAAAAATGAAGACACACAACGAACGGCGTTTGTCTATTAAATGCGTGCTATCGAGGGGTCTAATGCAGGTAGGCCCCGACGTTGTGTTTGCCACCTATAGCGGCAGATAGGAGGGCCGGATCCCCGATGCATATTCTAGAGACCTCGCGTTTGGTTTGTTTGGTCTTGATGCAAACACCAATGACGAGTAGAATGTTGTTGTTTCGGGCTGAGATTCTGTCACGACTGGCTCTTTTGCCTTCATGCACACGGGTCAGAAACAATCGTTATCGTCGTCGAAACCTCCACGGAAAGTGCAACATCCAGAAGGAAGGGAGAATTGTGCGTGTCCACATTAATTAAAAAGCCTTCAAAGGAGGAATGGAACGGAGTATTCGTATGACTGGGATGCGTGTACCCGTAACGGCTACAACAATAGCTGCTTGTACTCGGCGACACTAGCTAAGCATCGGAGTCACGCTGCTCTCTCTCGCAGAGTGGGGGGGGAGTACTTCAACACTTGGAGAGCTCTTCAGGAGAGTTCTTGGAAAACGCTACGAATGAATACTACGAATGAATACGGCGGCATTCATTTTGTGGTGGCGAGTTCCAATGGTATTGTTTAGGTGTGGTCAAGAATTGTCAAGTATACCTCAACTACGCCGAACATTTGCGCGAGGGTCTGGTTCTTCTGCGGCGGGAACTCGAAGCGCATCTTGGCGTTCTGCTTCTCCCTCATCACTGCTCCCGCGAACTGTTGCTGCATGAAGGCGATCACCTATTATTGATGATATTGCAGCCATGGCAACAGCACGACATGCGAGCGAGGATTTTTTTTGTTGGCGGGTCACTGGTGAGATGTTGTTCGCAGCCAGACATCAGTAAATAAATACCAACGTTCTCACCCTTGCTTGGTTGAAATCAAACACCGCGACGCTCACCACGCAGCAGGAGCACCACAGCCAAGTGCCAAACGACCCGTGGCGAAACAAAAAGGACGACGCTAGACAAACCAACAAAACGTCCTTTTCCAATACTTGAACATGACCCTCGACTCTCCTTCTCTATGCACCGCCTATACCTACCAGGAACCAACAAGACAGTATCGATCGTACCAAGATGGCACGACATAAGCCAATCATCCAGTCCTACCGTGTATCCACCCACCAACTTCACAGAAACCAAACCGACCAGAACAACAACGCCACCTTAGAGCACTTCTTCTCCACGCAGATCCAAGCCGCCAGGTCCCTCACGGGCACCCCGCCTTGGTTAGCGATGGCGTGGTAGATGCTCGCCCCGCGGCCGGTGGCAGAGACCTCCGCCTCTAGATCGGGGGCCTGCGCGGCGGCGAGGGCCGCTCGCAGCACGCCACCGTCGTTTCCGAGGGTACCCTGCCCGTTCGTGGCCGGCGCCAGCTCGGCCATCATGGCGTCGGTCTCCTGCACTCAACACCGTCGACCGAAAAAAACCGCAACGCACAAAGCGCAGGGAGGCTGCTGGATGAGATGCTAGTCAAGGTGAGCGAGGGCGAGGCAGTGGAGGACCGCGAAGCCATGATTCGGTTAGCCTTCTACACGCGGCAGAAGCCGAGAGGGCGAGGGGGGGGGGGTGAGGGGAGGACTCCCGCACCCGCAGCAACGTTACAACACCCAGAGCTGTAAGTTTGTCGTTCGTCGAAAGAACAAGGCAAGCGAAGGTCAAGCGCCCCCGCCCCTTTTACATATCTAACCCGATGATATTGCACGCATTCATGACAACCAGTTGATCGGGTGTGGCATCCCCCCGCTGGATATTTTCACAGCTCGTTCCCCTGAACGAGAAACGAATGTGCATGAAGCAAAGAATGCAGAGTTTCTTTCGCGTTAAGGGAGGGATTGGAAAGCATTGCATGCATATTGAACTTCGCGTGGGATGACCTGGCGCGAGCCTCAAGCGGAACAAGAAGCACGCGCGGGATCGGGAAAAGGAGAACATATGCCATCACCGGAATTGTTCGTTCGTTTGGGACGAGTTTTGACTTTGTGCGTGACCACAGAGGAAGTCGTCTGTGTTGTCTTGAGAAATCAGTGTGCTGCAAGTTCCGGAGAAAATACGTAAAGACGCCGATACCGATGTGGAACAACACGGGAAACGGAGCACACATGCAGCCATTCTACCGTGTACCTCGGGCAGGATGGCCTTGACGCGTGCCTCCAGCTGGAAGCCCTTGCCGAAGCGTGTCTTGAGGTGCTGCGAGGTGCCGAGGCACCGGAGGCGCCCGCCGACCATGATGCCGATGCGCTGGCAGAGAGCCTCGCACTCTTCCATGCTGTGGGAAACGACATGTGTCGTGTCAAGCGACGAACAAAGGAACTCAAAACAATTGCGATAGTGTGTTCAAATGCCCGTTGCCTTCGCACCGTGCAACGTGACCTCTAGACTACAGGAAAAATAATCCTTGTGGCAAACAACCGACGAGGAGCGCCTGACCAATCAGGCGGTCATGAATACCTGTGCGTGGTGAGGATCATCGCGCACTCCTTGTTCTCCGTGACTATCCGCATGATGACGTTCCACATGAAGCGCCTCGCCATGGGGTCCATCCCCGTGCTCGGCTCGTCCAAGAACACGATCTGTGACAGAAATCGACCACGCAACAATAAAGGAGGAACGAAATATATTAACCACGGTATAACCTCAGACAGAAACCTAAATTCCCGTCCCAACGTACGACATGACGGCGGTCCAATTACGAAACGTGTCGTACATCGACCGATCAACCGACACATCGTGTGCATCTACACTTTCGTGTTCTCCGCAAGTTTTATCGATGGTCGTGGTAGCTCTCGCAGCTTAACAATCACCAAACTGTTACCGTCGTCTTTGGCTTCCGAAGTCTCGCGATTCTTGTTCCCCACCTGTGGGTCCCCGATCATGGCCATGGCAACCGAAAGCTTGCGCTTGTTACCGCCGCTGTAGCCCCCGGCCGGCCTTTCCGCGTAGCGCGTCAACCCCATCTCCTCGATCTTCTGGTTCACTGCAGCAGACCGCTTGTCCGCCGGGATACCCTGCGTGGTACAGATGAAGTCAACCAGCAAGGTCATCGACGTCTCAAGTGTTGTTCCCTCGGTGTGAAGGAAGATGACAGCGACAGAAATTGTACCAGCTTTGGCCGGCCTCTCTGTGTACAAGGAACTGGTACAATCTCGGCTCGGGCGGGCACCGACATTGAAAAGCTAGCAACGTAAAGACTTTTTTGCTGTCCTAGAATCGTTGCGGAGTACGCGGTGGTATCTCGCGCTAGGGCTGCGAGTCGCACGCTGGTCATGCCGACTAGGGCAGTTCCGCCTGTATTTCTTGCACGTTTCAAACCAGAATAATCGGGCCATCAGACGATCAATGTAGCCGATCACTCAACTTTGCGAATGAACTTATTCCAGTCGTAGCGGATGGTACCTTTATCGCGGTTTCAACGACGATTCCACGAACAAGTTACGTTTCAACGGTTGGCCATGCTACCTTGATCGCCGCGTAGAGAGCGAGGTGCTCCCTGCCCGTGAGCGTCTCGAACAGAGCGTCGAACTGCGGGCAGTACCCCACAAGGCGGTGGATCTCCTCAGGATTCTTGCCCACGTCAAAGCCACCGAGGAGGGCCGATCCGGTTGTAGGCGGCAGCTCCCCTGCGTTGTTGGTACAATATATTTCGCAGTTTGTGATGCTTGACACTTGGTGTGGAGTTGTATGTGGCTTGGTTTGCTTGTTGTTTTTTTTGTATGAAGGATGTTCTACAGCTGCAAACGGGTGTGAATCAAACACTCATCCATAGTTGCAACACCGGCCAACCTGAGAGAATCGCGAGAGTGGAGCTCTTCCCCGCCCCGTTGATGCCGAGCAGGCCGAAGCACTCCCCGCGCGGGATGCCCAGGGACGTGCTCTTCACGGCAACCTTGGCGCCGTTGCTCACAGGGTATACCTTCCGCAGACCGGCAACCTGGAAGTATCAACAGGAAGAATACAAGCACGTCGTGTTTCAGGCGGACGTGTTGCTGAGGCTTGTTCGATATTGGTCCCGATAGGTCTGGGCATGCTTCCTCCGCTCTCGACGATAGCTTGGTGGCGCGCTTCCTTTGGTCTTGTGGCGATGCTTCGGGCTCCGAATGCAAGGAGCAACAATCTTACCCTTAACATGTCTGTTGTGCCCATATCTGGGAACTATCGGTCTTGGTGGGTTATCTGTTCCCACGAGACGCCGGCTGCACGCGACGGTGTGGTCTTTCCTTCCGAAAGCTTGCCAGTACACATGCATTGCATGACGGCACGTAGCATCGTTTCTCACCTTGACAACGTCGTTGTCGGCTGCGCCGGCGGCCACCCTGTCCATCTCCGCCCTGACGTCCTTGTCGATGTTGTCCTCGTCCCCGAGCTGTTTGGGCGTCAGTTTCTTCAGGCTCCTGCCCAGGACCAGCTTGCCATAGATGCCGGAGAGAAAAGAACCGCCAGCGGAAATCCTTGACCACGTGTGCATGCCATCGTCAATCGGGTTGTCGTCAGGGCGACAAGCCGCACAAGCAAGGGTGGTAAGTCGTATGTGTAGTAGCCTAAAGAGGTTAAGCGCACAGCCAGCCGCGATAGACGCGCGGAGCGGTGGTGGCTGCAGTAGCAGGGAGGGCGGGTGGTGTCGGGTGATGTTTTTTAAGGAGGACATTCTTAGCGTTTGGACCGACCTTGCGTTAGTAAGAAACCACGGCAGACTACACGAGTGTGACCGTGAGCTCTCACCTCTCGAAAACTAGCAGCAGCACGAAGTACACCACGCTGCAGACACCCATGTATATCAGGCTGTTCCCGGCAATAGCGCCGTCCAGCGGCGTGTACTCCGTATTGTTGAAGAAGCTCAAGATGGGAATAAAACTCATCTTCATCAACCCACTCCCGAGGGCGTACTGCGGGATGAGCCGGGCCAGGGCCGCGATTCCGTCGCCAATGTCCTACGGGCGTGAACGAACACACAACAAAGTGAAACAAACACCGTGGTGTAGTGCGGACATATAAGAAGTTCAGCCGCCGTGCGTATTATCGTTGCCGCATCCGGTGCAACGTTAATAGCAAGAGCAGAAGCGGTTGCTCGTCGCCTCCTCCTTCATCCCTGACTCGTGTGTAGGGTCAAGAGCTTGGAAGATGTTGTGGACTCACTTCTACTCAGCAAACTTCAGCGAGAACAAATCTGAATCATGAAGTTTCAGAAGCAGAAGGGAGATTCGAAGAGTTATCGTGTTAACAACCCACCATTTGGGTGGTACATACAGAACGTGAAGAACTCGCTGCACACATATGGGGGCAGACCAATCAGGACAACTGGCGTGTCGGCAACCGAGCATATTTACTGTATTGTGAGGTTTCGTTGTCTGTGTAGCGCGCACTTACCGACACCTTGCCGTCGAAGAAAGCCATGATAGACGTCGCGATTGGCAGAATGAGTCCGGTGATCCAATTGTGAAACAGGAAGGCATTCTGGGCGGTCGAGTAGTTCTTGAACGCGAAGCTCCACAGGTACGTGTAGCACGGCTGTCTCGTTCGTTCGGTTGTTGACGGGGAGGGGTGTCGGGAAAGGGATTTTGCGCGCGGCAGGTTGAAATCGACTGCCAAGCGGATGAAAGCCTGTGGTGTGCTACCGGTAAATCCACAAGAAGTTCAGGTTTCGTCGACCAGAAGGGCAACCAGGGGATGGAGGAGGGGGTATACTCATGTGTTGCTGCCTTTAGTTGTTGGGCCGTCGACCACGCATCAATTTTGAGACGAAACAACGGTGGTTCCTACCCCACAAAAGACAACCCCTAGCACACGAGCACACACATGAGCGCTCGAAAAGGTGCTGCCATCCTTGACATTAGAACAGAAACTTCTCTTTCCCTCCACCAGTTCAGTTTGTTTCTCACCCTCTATCTATACTATCTCCCTGTCGATTGCTTGCGTCCCCCTTGCCATCTAGCGTGTGGTGGGTGCCAGATTCATAATGTCACATCTCTCCCTCTCAAGACACCCTAAACCTGATGGTCTGTGCTCACTACCTAAGCTCAAACCGAACACGATGCGAACCCACCATGCTGGTGCCGTACAGCAGGAAGAGCAGGAACGTGGTGGCCCCTGCCTCTCCGGAGATGAGGGTGTCCACGTCAGCAGCGGCTAGAATGATGAGGGTAAAGGCCATCGGGGGAATGAGCGACACGAAGTCCCACAGGTAGGAGGACAGCCAGTACGCCTCCAGACCCACACCGGACACCACCTTTTGAGGTTTCACGAGGAGGGCGAAACATTGAGGGTGTGTTGCCAGTCGCGGTCATATCAAAACCCGCAGTATAGGCTAGTCATGATGACATCCATGCGTTTGTCAAACAAGACATTTTGATCGACTCTAGCGATTTCGTTTCCACGTGTCGGACAAAAAGACTTGTAGCACAGGACGTCGAGCGAGCCAGTGCTGTATGCCGAAACATGCACGGAGACACAGGCAAGGATACCATTTGAGAGATTAAGGCAACCACAACAGCGCGACATCGATATATATCGACAAAAAATAGCCGCAAAATAAGAAGCAGGCAGTTGCAGCATGCGGAGCTCCAGCGAGGCACAACAACAACACCACGTCATCGTAACGCCTGCGCGGAGTATCTCACACATCGCATACCGCAGTATGCGAGTTTAGTATTGGTCTAGGCGTGCATCCGCGATGCAGTACCGATCACCGCGTACACAGCACGCTCCCGTCACGCGAATGCTTTCTTTACCTGCTGGTGCTTGCACTTGGTCTCCTTCTCGCGGACGATGTAGGCCATCCATGCCGCGGGCACGAAGCTGAAGGCGATAAGTATGTAGAAGGTCACATTGAACGAGTCCACCCCGGAGTCGATATTGTTCTGGTAACTGGTGCCTGTTGTTACCCGCAAGAGGCGACAAAGGTGATGTGTCTGTCGTTATGTCCACCGCTTCCTCCAACTGCACATAAAACAAATCTGCGGGTGCTCAAGCACGCGAAGATATCGGGTTTGTTTTGAGTCTACTGCTACTATGCACGTGACGAGAAGTGCAAACTACCGTACGGCATGTCTTTCTGAACCCGTCACACTTGGCTAGCGTCGAAAAAATCTTGAAAAATTTCGAATGAGAATCGCATCAGGACGCTCCGCGCAATCCAACTGCTTGCAACAAGCTTGTAGCTATGATCGTACTTTGATGAGACACACAGCAGCGATTTCTCCGACATCGTCAGTAGGATACACTCTTAAAGGCACGCGACGCAGGGAGAGAAAGGTTCCGACCAAGAATAGACTACCATAATGGGTAAATATTTATGTGGATGTGCGACAAGACGACAACTCACGTGGAAATGGGTGCATGGAAGTGGTGATGCTCAGCGCATTGTTTCCGGCGACAATGCGGAGTATGGCCGAGTTGACCTGGTTCATGTAGAGCGGCACGCTGTGCAGCGCGCTATAATTGGCCTGTTTCAATGCATAAAAATAAGGTGGGGGGTGAGCTGCAGGTGAAGGTGGCGCACAAAGGAATTTTGCTTATTGCACCACCACCTGGGACCGAGACACGCAAGAAGGTGGCGCACGCAACGCTCACAAACGTCTGGAGCTGTTTAAGGCGGCGTAGTTTGTGTGGTGTGATGCGCGTGTACACAAGTCGAATTGGTATCGGTGGTGGAGCCGACAGGCCGGCCCGGTGACACTACCAGCTAGCTCGTGGGAGGCAGAGGGATTCCTGCTAGAGGGAGGTGTATGGTGTGTGCGGACACGACGACGGCTAGAGTTGAGCGACGCGGCTTATCACGTCTACAGCATAGTGAAACCTATAGATAATTTTCGCGCCCTTGTACTGTCTCCATCCCACGTGTCACGAATCACCATGATACCCATCTGTAAGAAAAGCTCAACCCGCTACAAAGCGGGTCGTCTGGCTATTCTGGTCACATTTCCCGCCTCGTACCGAGATCTCCCGCTATACATGCAAGAACGCAAACGCGAAACGCGACGGCTAGAAACGGCGAAGCGCTCCTGCTTCATAGACTGCGGGCGTGCGAATATTTACAAGTGTTTGCGTTGTATCGCTTGTTTTTGCGTGGTATTCCTATGGGTACATGAATATGTCCCGTTGATCCTACGGTACGGTCCGGCTGCAAACACAGGCTTGGATACAATTTGCGGTCGGATACATGGTACAATCAGGTACACATGGTAGGGTGTACGGCGGGGGTATAGGGTATAAATACGCACGCATGCAAGATCGGTCACAAACAGATTGCAGCTGCAGCCAAACATGCGAAAAGGCAGTACCATCTCTCCCTCGCGCTCGCGCTCTCTCTCTTCTTCCCTCTCGTTCTTCCTCTCTGCCTCTCTGCCTCTCTGCCTGCCTCTCACATGTACGGTGTAGTCGTAGGTGCCATCAGATGAGTCAGCCTGCCGGAAACTGGCCGCCCCGTACACGTTGTTGTCGTAGCTCTGTCCGGCAAGAGCCGTGCTCATCTGAACATCGGCGATGCAAAAGAAGGAGCAAAGGGAACACAAGAAGAGTGTGCAATATGCGTCGTGTACCAGCACTTTGAAAGCCTCGAAAATCAGCAGTGTCGCGTCGGTGTAGTGATGACCTATCTGTCTTATGAGCGCGAAATATAGCCCTGCTTGTCTTGTCATTATTGGGCACTATTA